ATCAATGAAGATAATTTAAAAAAGATTATTAAAATTATAGAAATACAAAATACACAAATAAAATTTATAAAAGAAGTTATTGGTATAGATGATATTTTGTGTCCTTTGTTTAACAAGACATGTGATACTATTAATACATTTCTTGATGATGTTAAGAATAAGTTTAACAAATAATTTATAATGAAAATTATTGATTAAATACATAAAAATTGTTGATTAAAAAAATATATTGTAATATTTCTATTTGTAATATAAAAGTGTTTTTTTAAGTTAAAAATTTTAATATCTACGTACATGTTAGTAAATAAGGTATTTAATTTTTTTTTTACAGTGCAAGAGGGTTGGAGAAACCTTGCATAGAAATCGTAGAGACTTGGGATTGTGGTTCTTGTCCAACTGATGCTGTAAGACTTTTATTTATCTAAACTTTCACCTTTTTAAACTTGCCGGTGCAGAAAGCTTCGCTGTATTTATTGGACCTTGGCTGTTGGAAAACTGCTATCGATTATATTCATACCCTGTCCAGAGTGGCTCACAGCAGATATAATTATCTGGTATGATTTGAATAACCCGAGGAGAGACACCATCGTAATAGCATCAAAGGCCTCTACTATCATTATCGCTATTTTTATGCATTCTCATACACTTACAAATCTTCAGGCTGGCATTTTTATGGACTGCGTTGACCACTCGTTTTCCACCAGTTTTGGCCAGTGTACTCAGAATCCTGTAGAATGGAGTCTACGAGACCTTATTGCTCTACTTCGTCTAGTCCCTTATTAAGCTTGAATGAACCCACCCAGAAAATAATTCTCGATGTAATTACTTAAAAACTTGAAAGTTTGGGATTAAGAGGCTTTATAACGATTAAAAGTATTTTAATTATATCTTGTAGAATCTTCCACATTTTAAGAATTTAAATTATTTAAATAAAATTTACCCTTACTCTAAGGAAAGGCAACCTGTATGAATTGTACCAACAAAAATTATAATAAGAAAAATAAATCATTTAAATATAATAGAGAAGGCCATCAAGAACCTATATTTAAAAACATTTTAGAGTATTATTTTAAGAATGGAACAGTTCCTGTAAAATACGTGATATCCGTATTGTTTTTAAAAATCACTATGTACTTAAATAAATATCAAAAATTTATTAAAATTAAAATATACAACCAATTAATATCAAAAAATTTTCTTTTTTTCGATCTCAGCAGTTAAGTTTATAAAATATCTAAAATTGAAGATTTTAAAAAAATTAAGACCGACAATTAATTTTATAATACAATGTTGTTTGTTATTATATACATATGAAAATAATAAGTTTTATTTTTAATACGTCAATATACAGATATCTTCTAAATTATGGTCACAAATAATCGAAATTGTTTGACATATTATCCTGGTTTAACTTTAAGTAGATTTATAATCATAAATAGTCTTTACTATGTTAATTTATGTTACTAAACATTATTTTTAATATATATTAATACATTTTAAATTTTAAATACGTTGAAGAAAGAAGCCAACAATTATTTTACAAAATTGAAACGAAAATAGTATAGTTTATTTATTAAAATTTACTTCAAAAAACTCTTTCAACATTGTAATATTTACTGCATAGAGCTTAAATTTTTTTTTAAATCTTTCAATGTTGCATAAAACGTGCAAATAATCCTCCTTCGTGACTTTTTTAGAAGAAGAACATGAATTTTTTTTTATTTTTTTAATAGTTTGCTTCATAAAATCATCAATCTTTTCATAATTAAAATTTAATACCATTTCTTTGATTATATTTTCAGCTAATGTTACATTACTTATTATATCACACTGATTGTATTGTTGTAGATAAAAATGGTCTTTAATGTCAATAAAAAACTGTGCAATTTCTCTAAGAAGTTCAACTGAGTCAAAAAAAAGATTTTTAGTATTTGCAGACGAAAAATAAGAATTAAGATTACCCATAAAAATTTTAACAATTTCGCTTTCAAAAGTTTTAAACCATATACAATATGTATATATCCTACGACGAATAATACAATATTTAGAATTTTTATTTAAGTGACAGTCAATATGATCCCTATATGATCGTTTTCTTATATTTAAATAAAACTTATCTTTAAGTGCTTGTAACTCTTTTTTATTTTTTTTTAAAATATCAGAAATCTCGATATTTGAATTTTCAGAAGTCAAGCTTTTAGAAGGTTTATGATCTGCAGCAAAATCTGCATTTCCTTTTTCTTGCTCTTTTTTATTATTTATAATTAAATCGCTGCCATTAAAAAAATTTATAACATTGGAGTTACTATCTTCGCTATATTTTTTATTGTAAACGTCAGCATATTTATCAATATTACAATGTATAAAATCAGAATCAACTAAATTAATATATCTTTCAATTTCCTTATACAATTCATTTTCAAAAACCATATATTCATATTTCTGATTGTTAGGTTCTATGTAATTATCAATGCAACCAGCTTTTAATTGATTTGCTAGAAATTTATTTTCTTGCACAGCTGATATATTTTCCATTTGCTTATGTAAATTAATATTAAAACACGATCCAGCTTGTGTAGAAAAGCTATCGCTATTTATCGTTGACAATTCTTTTTCAAAGATTTTAGTATCTGAAAAGTCTGTAGCACTTAAAACGTCATTGCAGTACTGGAGATTGCTTTTAGCTTTATTTTTAAATATTGTATTTGCACTACTGTTCGTTAAGTAATCCTGACCAAAAAGAATTGCGGGGTTTGTGATTTGAAATAGCTCTTTATTATCTTTATTAGGCATTGTAAAAAAATTACCTGTTTCATAAATATGTTGGTCACGTTGTTCATACATACAACCACTATCTAAAGGAAACTTACTAATTCTTTGATTACATTCTGTCTCTACTTCATTTTTTTTCTTTGTTTTGTCAGTACACAATAAATTTTCAAATATTGTATTTTGTTGTATACTTTCTTCTGTGCCTACAAAATTGTAAACACTCCTGTAAATTTGGTTGTTTAAGTAATTTAAATGAGAATCTAAAAAATTTGTTGTACTAATCAATAAAACGTAAAAAAACATTTTGTGGGTTAAATTTTTTTTATTTCTGAAATGGTATTTAAAATTATTTTATCATACGAAATATAAATAATCTTTATTTTTATATATAATATTGTTTATTTCTGTTTATAACAAATGTAAAAATCCAACCATGAAACTTTTAATAAGTGTATTTAATTAAGAAACAACGCAAAATTATTATATAGTAAATATTTCTACGATATTATATTTTTATAAAGAAATATAAAGATGATTTATATTTGCATTTTAAATTAAAAACATTGTCATATACAAATGATTACCCGTAATTTTATATTTTAGTAGATATCATTAATATTCACACAATTAATACTTAATTAAATAAAAAACAATATTAATGCAGTAGTTTGTTTTATTAATTAAATTAATTAATACGTTTTTTTAATTTTTTTTAATATATTAAAACGGATTAAATCGAATAGACAAATTCATAAAAATAAATATCATGTACAAAAACAAATCCGTAGTTTTACACAGTTATTATAAGACTTATGATTGACAATTTGTATCTAAAAGAAAATAATTTAATGCTGCATTGAGATACTATAAATTAAAAGATATTTATATTTTAAATAAAAATAAGCTGTTGGAATTAGCTAATAAATAATAAATATAGTAATTTTAAATTCAAAGATTATTTAAATGATTAAAAATATAAAATGTAAACTAAAATTTTTGTAAAGCTTATATACCAATTTGAAACAATTTAATCATTCCAAAAATCTTCTTGTAGTATTACAGCACCTGTAAATACTGTAAACCAATTTTTTTAAATTATTTTCTTATTCTTCTGTAATTCCGATGATATAAAATAAAAATAGATTTTTATATTAAATTAATTTAAATAATCGACATATGGCAATTCTACCACACTTTTACATAAAATTTGCCTGCAAAATAAAATTTATTAAATAGCAATTGTTGAGGATTTAATAATAATAAAGAAATAAGTGGCCTTTTCAGCGTTTTTTAATGATACCAAAACGCAAATTTTTTAAGCCTTTAAATGATAAAACTTAAAGAGGAGGAGGGGTACCAATGAATAACAAATAATGTCATAAATTATTGTAACAATTGAAAATGTTATAAATGTTGTTAAGACACATGTAAGTTGAAGTAAAAGAATGGATTTGTCTGTTCTTCCTTTTCATGAAAGTATAGATTCGCCTACTACAAAAGAATAATTTTTGAACACTTGGCGCTCCCAATTATTATATTAATAAATTTTATAGATTGTGGATTTAGAATACTTTTAATATATTATTGCAGAAGTTCATAGATCTTAAATCTTTAAAATCTGCAATAAATTTTGAGCACATGGAGGATTAGTGTTGTATTTAAATAAGTTTAATAAAATTTGTGGAAACAATGCCATAGTTAAAAATAGACAAAAATAAATTTGACGGCGCTACTTCATCTTTCCACCCCCCTTGTTTTTCAAAAGAAATTATTGGCTACAAAAAATTAAAATCTAAACATTTTTAATAGTCTATATAATGCAGTCCTAAGCGTCTTGTTATCGCTGTTTTGGACGTTTCGTTTCCCCATTGCCATCCATATAAAAATAAATTTGTTCGGTTTTTACTAATACTGCCACGTTTTCGATAGGCATGCTTAATATGTGATCACAGGTTTTCAATTTGGTTAGTATGTGCTCCTTGAGCATTAACAAACCCAACAGAGTGGTTTACCGCTTCATGGCAAGATCCAAATTCAATAACAGTCCTAGGGTAAGATGGGTAACCATCGGTAACAATGATAGATCCGGGTGCAACATGTTCTTTGAACATGTCTAGTATAGTCGGAACCTTCCTGTTAGGAACAAGCTTTAGAACAAAATTCTTACAGTTTCCCTCTTCTACACCACCCACTAACCATTGTATGTTAGGTTTGTTGTCTATGGTACTAGATGGGTTAGGTATTAACTCCCCATTACAGATAGCAGTTTCGTCAAACTGCACCCCAATGCCTTCTCCACCTATTTTAACCATTTCTGGCTCTTGTTTGGATATTACTTGCGAGATCAGTCTTTGATTTTAGTGTAAGTGTTCTCCGAACAATCGCAGAAATCAATGGCCTGTGCTAGGGCATAATCATATACCCAGCAATACATTCCCCTAAGAATTTTTACAATTCTATATTCAGGCTGGCCATTTTAGACCCCTTCTTTAGGCTTGCCTTTGATCTGCATGCCTTAGAAGAGCATCTGTAAGCATACCCGTCTATATACGTGGCAGCCACCATAATCCTCATTCTTCCATCACACCTCATACAATTTATTTCATTTTTTACAATATTAAATTTTAAAAAAAAAATCTATTGCCTTAGTATTTTCCAGAAAAAGTGCTTCGTTATATTTAAAACATAAAATTTTCTCTTTTAGATTTTCCATAAAGGGGTTAAAAAATAATTCTTTTTTTACCTTTACTTCATCTTTCCACCCCCCCTCCGAATAACTACGTTCACTTTAAAAAATTTTGTACGTAGTTATTCGGAGGGGGATGGAAAGATGAAGTAGCGCCAACATTTTTAACGGCTAAAAAGACAAAAAAATGATTTAAATTAACAATTACAATATAAAACAATATTTTTCTGTCATTTATATAATACAATGCATTTGATAAAAATTCTATAAATAATAAAATAATTGATAAATTAAATTTAAAACTACTAAATACATAATAAGAAAAAGTTCTAGTGTTTAGAATATAATCTCCACAGAAGAAAAAAAGTAAAAACTCCTTTTTACAAAAAAATAAAATTATGATGATATCAATTCACGATACACGTATAAAGGACTTATTAATAGAATTCTATAAAAGCTTTAAAAATATTTGGCATATTATTATTACTCTAAAAAGTATTCAACAAGGATATAGAGCTTAATAATTTTATTTCTTCTAGGATAAACAAATATTGATAAATCCAAAATTTTTAATTTGTAATTTACTATGTTTAGTGTTTCATATGTTTACTAATTTATGCTTTTAAAGAAATTTTAGACGTAGTTAATGAATTCAATAAATTTTGTCTATGATTATTTACAACGCAATCTAATGCATGTGTAGTTAAGAATAATTTATAAAAATCTCAATAAAAGTCTTGTTTTTTTGCTTAGTATAAAAAAGAATTACAATTTGAAAATGAAATGAAAAAACTTGATTTTTTTAAATGCATTAACCATTAATAGCCTTTTTTTTATCGATCCTCTATTTTTATCAAAAAAATATTTGAACGTTTTTAAAATTTAATTTTGCGTTTTTAAAAGTGTTATATAAATTTATAACCATTCTTTATATTTAATAAATAAAATCTGAAATAAATACAGACATTTCTACTTCAACTAAGTTAATAAACAATTAATTACTAGCTTTGTCCTAAATAAATAATAATCAGAAGATGTAAAGTTGTAAATATGTCTATCTTAATTTAATATAATTTACAGTCTGCCGCCCTAAAGAGTAAATTCAAAAAATTACCTTTCTATTTTAGTTAAAAAAATTAAGATTAGTGTACAAATATTTATAAATACAAAGATTAGATAAAAAAATGCGTAAGAATTATTTGTATAAATTTAGACGTGCAATTACTTATGTTAAGATAAGTACATATAAAAAAGGTTAACCATATCTTCTTTTGATATAAAACAGGTGTTTGGTTCATCTTATTTATGCGTTTCAAAATATTAACTATAAATAATACTTTTTAATTAAAGACAATTTATGTTGAATTAATGTTTAGCAATAACTTATATTTTGTTAAAAAAATAAAAATAAAAATATAAAATTTGGGGTGTTTACTTTTTATAATTTTAGGAATAGATAAATATTAGTTGCACATTGTCATAGATGTTACACTTGATAGGCTTGATAAGAAACGCTTTTGAATAATTTTTTAAATATAAACATTGCTTTCACCCAACGATAATAACCTTTTGTTAATTTATAAACTAAAAATATGGTTATCAATCTAAAATGAAATGACCTTAATAAGTAGGTAGCAAAGTTATATCAGAAAGTGAAATATTAATCTATAAACTTGTACATATAAGCTGTTTTAAAAATGTACTATATTTATGATGTTTTTGTTTTTTAAAAAATTAAAAAGCATGCTCCACATAAAAAAAAATTTGTTTTTTAAAATTTTCTTGAATTTATTTTTTGTAAAAAATAATCCCCGTGCCTTATATATAGTTAATTAGTATTGATAATAGGGAAAAATAATATTTTTTGTGTAGACATCTAAAGAAAACATGTTTATTGATTAAATTGTTTTTTGAAACTTAGCTTTAGATCAGTCTATAGTAACCAATAGACTACTACTACAATGTTTGATTTTTAATAAGAGAAGACTTAAAAGAAGGAATAGCTTCCAACGATTAGGATTACTAAAATAAATACAATTAAGAACAATTTGATACAAAGAATTTAAACAATAAAAAAATTTTAGAAAATTATTTTACAAACGAGAACATACCCTGTGCATACGTTAATTGGTATTCGTTATTACTATTAGGTTTGTAAGTTTTTGTCAATTACATATTTGCTTTGTACCTTACAATTATCATTCTTTTTTACTTCTTGTTTATAATAAAGAGTTAATCGTAAGCAACTTTGCTTTAACAATTTAAATTACAAAGACAAAAAATTTTATTATTAAATATTATTTATGTCATTTTAAATATGTACTTTGTTAAGTTTAATATTTGCTAAGAACTTTAAAATATAGTTTACAAATTGCCGTTTATCTATTTCAATATATAATTTTAGATTAAAGAAAATGCATTTGCTTGAGATAGCTGGTAGTAATTTATTTTTAAGTAATATTCAATATAAATATCAAAATTAAAAGTTTTTTTAACTAATTATTTTTTTCTACTCTTTTTAAAATCGTTAGCTATTTATAATAAATTTTTAGATAAAATCCCAAATATTTGAATTTAACTAATAATATTAGAAATTCTGTACTTTATCAGCTTTAGAATTAAAGTCAAAATTAACAATAAAAAATGAATTAAAAAAAAATATTATGATTATTTATAACACCATTATTTAATGAATTACATATGATAACATTAGAACCTGATATTTTAAAGACCCAAAATCATACTTAAAAATAAGACTTAACCAAAGCAATTTAAATACATATTGTCAAGGAACAAAAATATTTTATTTTAATAATTTTCTGACCGATGCAGGAAGAAAGCAAATAAAAATGTTATTTATACTTATAATCATTATTTCTTTTGAGGGTTTCAAATTTAGTATTAAAATAACGAAAATTTACATGATTAAAAACTTACATTTGCAAAATTTATGTTTTACATGCTTTAGTATTAGTTTAAATCTAAAAATGAGGATAGGTCGAGGAAACTGACCCGTTTTAAAATAAGTTTATAATTAACTTTTAATTCATAGTCCCTTATTGGTAACCATATTTTTTTATTGCTATTAAAATAATTTATCATATAATTTTTGTGATCCTTATTTTTGGTAATTTTATTATACAAAAATAAAATTCTAGAAAGTTCATAAAATTAAAAATTTTTAAATTGTGGTATTATACCTCAGAAATATATATAAGATTATATTATAATTCTATTTAAATATTTGCATACAACTATTATTTGTAAAAATATTCCCTCCTTTTCTATTAGTTTATTATTTTTCATAACCCCTCACAAAATGGCCAGAACTGCTATGACAAACACTAACAGTAAGGGAAAAGCGAAAAAGGGTACACAAAAAAAACCTGGACAAAAAGAGCAGAAAACAAAAGAAAGAAGGTCTTTTAGTATTAGAAAACCAAACATAACAGCTAGTCAAAGTGCTAAGAAGACTACAAAGAAACCTAGATCGATTGTTTTAAAAGAGATAAGATTTTATCAAAAATCTACAAATTTTTTAGTAAGTAAATCTCCATTTACTCGTATGGTCAGAGATATTATACA